ACTGCAGGAGACACTCCATGGGATATGCTTAGCTTAGCTGTCTGCATGTCTGCTTATTAAGCTCTGAGGTTAAGGATTTAGTTCCACGTATCAGTTTACTTAGAAATAAAGCATCGCTTCACATTTTAATCTCAAGTATGCTGCATTGTCTTGCCCGCTTCCTCTCGTGCCCTCTCCCCACGACCTCTTCCCCAGCAAAACGCTGGAAAGTTATTAGCAAATATTCTGTGAAATATTTAATATCCAAACAGCGGGGTCTGTGCATCCCATGAGAGACTCATAGCCCTTATGGTCAGGACAAGAAAAACAAGGATTGTTTGCAGGCCCCCAGATCCTACTGGGAGACGCTTCGGGGCTGGAGTTGTTGCCAAGCAAAAACCTCACAGTAAAGCAGCCCTTTAGATGAGTTATAAACCAGGCTAGCTGGGACCCAGGCATCCCAGCCTGGGATGGACCTCACTTCCACTGTGCCCACAGCCTTTGCACAGAAATGAAATACCCCGCACAGGTGCCATTTGAAAGTATATTTTCCGGCCCTACGTTAGTGGAAGCCATCTTCCTCTTCTGTTCTCAAAAGGATTTACACTGAGGAAGTCTGGGCTCCTGTCTGCAGGAAGGGCATGACAGACATGTCAATTGGCTTATGATTTTTCATTAAAAAAACTATAAAAGTATTTCTTTACGTGTTTATCGGGGTTGGGAGACTTTCAAAGGTTGTGGAAGGTTTTCTAAAGCAGGACTACAGAGCTGTTAAGCGGCATAAACACTTTCCCTAAAATTGCATAAAAGCATACACCCTTTTTCTACTCAAAATACTTTAGCCTGCTACTGGGATGAGCTTTGAAAAAGCTGAAAAGCTCGGTTGTCCCTTTCCTCCCCCTGGCTGGAGGCAGGGCCCCTTTATACCGGGGGCTGTGAAGATTTATACCCTGACGGCAGGGCACAACGCTGACTTTCCCACCCCTTAGCCGAACTGGGGGAGATTCAGCACACCGCAGCCCTGCACAAAGCTTCCCCGGTGCCAGGATCGGACCTGTGCGCCCAGCACTCGCGAAAGCCCCTTGACCTTGAGCAGAGCCTGGCTAGCCCCACGCCCCCGGCCCGGCTCTGCCCCTGAAGCCGGGGAGGGACAGGACGGGACGGGACGCGGG